AAATATTTTTTATCGTGTTACTTCAGTAATCGACAATTAAAACAATCGAAATTTGGTCGAAGTCATTTTATTATTTATTTTCACCGAAGTAAATTAACTTTAATTTCGGTTAATTTACTTTTTATTGTTTACTTAGAACTAAAAAAATATACAATTATAAGTAGCAATTACAAAAATAAATCAATTAAGAGAAATAATCTTATTTTCGATCACAAAGAGGATTTTAGTGCTTAATAATATTCATGTGCAAAAATATAAAAAGTAACCAAGAATAAAGTTAATCCGTATTGGTAGAAATAGACATAAGTCACGTGATTAATCCGAGCTCGAAATAGCTATGACAATCCGTCATCGATGTCGCGGTTTTTGCGATCGGTTCAAACATTGGATTTACTTAACTTCCGTTGTATATTTTGATCACATCAAATAAGATTTTTCACGTCTCGAATAATAAATAGACGTTAAAATTATGCCATTCCAATCTCAGTGACGTCAACTCGGAAAATGTGACAACTCGCGGTCGGAGGTTGCAACTAACATGGTACTTTGATTAATATCGTAGTATTGACAATATCTGTGGTACTGCGGCGAATCGCGGAAAATTCTCCGTCAGCGGAAATAACTTTCCGCAACATCGCTCTGAATGTTAAAAGAAAACGTCCGCAAGTCATCGATAATGAAAATTGGAAAGACGAATTATTAAATAAACATCGCCGTGTGGAACGGTGACTGTAATCGATCTGAAAAGCTATCGTTATACGCACATGATATGCGATGCGCACGATAGCCGAGGGTCTCTCGCTGATCTCGGCCCGCGACGTCTCGGAATCCGCCATCGCTCCGGCCGGACACCTTGAGTTCGACGCGGCCCGCGATGACGAAGGACGACACGGCCGAGAAAGGTCGAGGTTCGCGCGTCGTCCACGACTTCTAAATTTAGCTGGTTAACAGACCGGCGATATACGAGGCTACCGTCTCTTCGTTATCCCGGGTACTCCGCGTCGCGTCGATCGGAGACGCAGTCCCTTCATGCGCTTCTCGATGCTTTTCATCGACCGCGTCGCGTCAATGTTTTGTGGCGGCAATGCGCGCGAAATACAAAGATTAAGGTAAAACATATTACACATAAAAAGGTCTGCTCTTTGTGACTGAACTTAAAATATAGTGTTGTACTTAAAATGAAATAGATATACATTTGAAGTTTGGCAAAAGCAAAGCGATATAGAAAGTTTTAGTAGAGTCTATAAGCCTCTACTAAAAAAGTCTATAGAAAACACATTCAGACAACACGCAATGTCTAGAAGACGTTTATGGTGTCTTTTAGATATTTTTTAGACACGTATACAAGGTTGGCAAATATTAATTTTCTGTTACTTTGTCGTTATTTATTATAATAAACAATTTGATAATGACATTGCAATTTTTAATGACGGTAACTCTAACTAAATACTAAGGTTGTACTAAGGTTGGAAAAGCCA